AACCCATTTCTGACCAAATTTTGAGTTCAGGTTTGAAGTCAACTTGTGATTTTCATGGGGCTTCTTGTGGATTCTTGTTCATCGTGTTTTCCTCGACAAAACCCTTCGGTATCGTCGGATTCGAAGCATTTTTTTTCGGCGGGCCTTTGAGGTTTTCATCTCAAATTGAGGTAGGGGGTGTTATAATTTATTATTCTTGTTATATAGCATGCTTGTGATGCTTATAAAATTCATTTACATGTTTATGTATGAAATCTAGAAACTTTAATCAATTATTTCTTTGTGTAAGATTTAATTTTCCCGGTTGCTCATAGCCTTGTTTAAACATGTAGCATGATATTAAATTACCCCTTAACATGATCATTGACATATATTAAATCTAGATTATTTGGACAAGTAACGAAGATTTTATTTAATATTTATCTTGAATAAAATATTAATTCATGTGGCCTTAATTAGTTTGAAATCAATATGTGTTAGCATATTATATTAGGCCCTAACATGCTCTCCAACATAGATGAATTTGAGAGTAATCGGAAGTGTTTTGAAATTTAGTAATATTTAATTAATTTGATTAATTAATTTATTCCGAGTGTACTATTCACTCCATTGGATTTTTGGCTTCATTTTATTGATATGCATGCCATATAGTTTCACATATATTTAATCGAGAATATTTGATTAGGTTTTGAAACCTTTAATTTAATTATTTTTTTGTATTAAAGTTTAATACTCACGGCCATACCTTGCATGAAAAAATTCTTGTAATAGGCTTTTAAATCAAGTCTTGGCATGTTATATAACATACTTTAATTTGAGAGCATTTGGATGAGTTTCAAGATCTAGAGATTTTAATTAAAAGAATTAATTAAAACCTATTCAATGGTTTCATAAGCTTGATTAAGTTTCTAACTTTGTATTCATGATTTCCTTGATAAGTTCCTTCACGTGTATCAAATTAAGAATAATCGGATAAGTTTTGAAGCTTATATTTCATTATTTTCCTTATATGGAACTTAGCCCACATGGTCGTAACTTGCACTTCATGAAACTTCTAGCTTTTTATCATGTATCTTATACTTGTGGTATATTTACTTCAATGAATTTCTTGTGCTATATATCTTGGTTCTAGTCTATATAGATGCACATTTTGAATTCTTGACATTTCACATGCCATCATAGTTGAGAACTTAGGGCATGACTTGTGTGTTCCAAAATCTTGGTTGTGCATGAAACGTGGTTAATGCATTCTTGTATTTTGATACAATCTTGACTTGCATAACTTGTTGATTTTGGGACTTGGGATATCAATCAATAATTGACATGGCTAAGATTTGGTTCTAGTACGGGGGAATGTCCCTTTACAACTATAGTGCGCACTAGGCGAAAAGTACCCATGCGTTAGTAGCCTTAAAGTGATCTCAAGAGTACAGTTTTAATCCAGGCGATATCCGAGTTTTCACATTGGTTGATTTCACTCTTTAAATTTCAAGTTGCAATTCCTTGAAGATTTAAACTTATCGTGTATGTGAAATGCTCCAATCTTGTTTACTTGCATAGATATTATGCCTTGTTCTTGATTCATGTATGACTTTTTTCGTGCTAATTGGAATGCTCCAATCATATTAATTGCATTAATAATGTAATTCTAGTTAACTCATGTCCATGTATACTTCTTGTCTTGTTAAATTGGACTGCTCCAATCATGCTAAATTGCATAGATATTATGCATTATTCTTGATTTCATGTATTACTCTTGTCTTGCTAATTGGAATGTTCCAATCTTGTTTACTTGCATAGATATTATGCTATGATCTTGACTTCATGCATTTCTCTTGTCTTGTTAATTGAAATATCCCAATCATGTTAATTGCATCGATAATGTAATCCCTGTTAGCTCGTATTTAAGCATCATTCTTGTCGTGTTCCTTGGATTATTCCAAATCTTAATTTGTTTCATACATATATATGTATCATGATTCTTGTTATTAGTACTCTAGGGTAACTTAGGATGCTCCTTGAGTCTCACCTTGATATAGACGTTAGGTGGCACGACCCTTTTGAACTGTATCATGTTAGTCTAAAAATCTGAAAGAAATCGAGTCATGCATGCTCATTCTCTACGAGTAAACTTGTTTACTCACCCCGAAGTTACTAGGGGTTTTGATCAGGTATGAAGACTTGGTTTGTGATTCTTATCCTGCTTGGATGATTTTTAGACTTGAAGATTTCAATTCTTGTAAAGGTCGACTTAAAATGCCATTTGTAGCCATTTTGTCAAATGTGTATATTTGATTCCAAACTTGTATTATGTGCTTAAGCACACTTTTTGGTATTCATTCTATGTATATGATATGTGGCCAAGGGCCAAACTTCATTTGTAATCCATGTATATTGAAAAATATAGAATTTTGCCTTTAATGAGAAAAACATGAAAACTTGGGTTTCAATATGTCATTTTTGCACCGGTGTATGCATTGTGTATGTAATTCATCCTTTAGCATTCATTTGTCATATGTGCGGTGTGGCCAAGGGCCAAACACCATTTAGTTTTCATTTTTTGCATTGTAGTTCACATATTGCATTTTTTGGCTAAAATAGTAGAAACCGAGCCTTTAAGGGTTCATTTTCAAATCGGGTGGTGCAAAGTGTGTTCCGGCACCTCCACTAAGTCTCATTTATCTTGTATGAAGTGTGGCCAAGAGCCAAACGATCATTTGAAACCATTTCCTAATTTTGGTTTCCATATTTTCTATTTCAAGTTCATTTTCGCCTTTTTGGCCGTTGGGGGGTTGGATTTTGACTCGGCCATTTTCGGGAGCCGCGGACCATTCCCGCATGCTCAAAATCACCATTTACGTCTGCGTGCATGATCATCTCTAGGAAAAACCCTTTCTCTTGTGATTTGAGCCTCCTATGGAATCATTTTTCAATTTTCTTGCGTAATCTAATTTTAAGGCATTCTGGGGTTTTCTTTCGGGAAAAAAATTCCGGTCTTCACATGGTCACAAAGAAAACATGTTTTAGGGGGGGTTTCTTCTTCATGTTTTTCCAGAAAATGTCATATTGGTACCGGAAATCCCTCGTGAAGTTTCAGCTTCCAGTTTTCATTTTAGCAGCTTTTTGGCCTTCATGACCAGATTTCATAGAGGGGCATTTTGGGCATTTTACAGTGAGTTTTTTTTTTTAATTCTCCATGAGTCACGTAGAAAACTCAATTTTGAGGGGGTTTCTTCTTCGTATTTTTCCAGAAAATGTCATCTTGGTACCGGAAATCCCTCGTGAAGTTCTAGCTTTCAGTTTTCATTTTAGCAGCTTTTTGGCCTTCATGACCAGATTTCATAGAGGGGAATTTTGGGCATTTTACAGTGAGTTTTTTTTTTTAATTCTCTCTCGAATCACGTAGAAAACTCAATTTTGAGGGGGGTTTCTTCTTCGTGTTTTTCCAGAAAAATCCGTTTCGGACCTCGTTTCAGCTCTCAGTTCTAGCTGAAATTTTTTCTTTCCTAGTATGTCATGGTACATGCCATTAGACGCTGAATGGGGCGCCGGCATGGGTGCCGGGCTCGCATGGGGCATGCCATGGCCTTCGTCGGGCCACCGCGACGTCACAACTTTAAACACTCGTTTCTCCCTTATCCGGACTCCAAATCAAGTGAACTTTTTTTTTTTGTACTTGATTAATTTTTCTCTGTCTTTCCAACGGTGTGCTCGGTTGCACCCGGTTCTTCCTGAATAAGTACCAGTTTACCCTTTTAGCCTTAAGTGCTCGTTTTTCTTCGTCATGTCGTTTCTCCTTTGTTCGGATTCCGAATCATACAATTCTTGAGTCCAACTTGATTATTTTTTTGTTGTCTTTCCAGCAGTGTGCTTGGTGGCACTTGAATCCACAGTTTTTAGAAATGACTATTTTGCCCCTGGGGGCTTATTTGTCATATTTCAGATCTTTTACTTCCGCGTCAATTTTCTTTGAGTTCCGTGACTTCATGAAAGGTCATCTTAGGGTCTTAGAGGTGTGTTGTGCCTTGGGAGACCATTTTTTTGCTTCTTGTTTCCGCATCGGGATCCGTTACCGGGTCAACTTTCGGGTCACCATTGACGCAACGGGTCGAATAAAACTTGGGTCGTTACATACAGAATCAATAGCCCTTTGTGTATGTATACTTCTGATTCTTATAGATTTTGTAGTTTCCATCATCAATCATCATTATAAGAGGCTGTGATGATATATGTCTAAGTGGATCATACTGGCATTGAGAATCGGATCCGTTTGTTGGCGGGGCAAACCAGAGGGTCTGTGGGAGAGTCCTTCTCTCACAGGCAACTGTTGTTGCAGCCAGGGCGGTGGGATATACGTACTCTTGCCCACATAAAAACCAGATCTGAGCCTCAATTGTAGTCAACTGTTTATTTTTATATAATCTTTTTATTAATTACTCAAATAAGATTTTCTATGCCTTAATCAGTCATTTGTCTAAAGAAACATTGTTAATTAACTAAAATTGAATTAAACAACAGTTGATTTTGGTTGATATATTTTTATTTTGTCCACACCATTGAAAAATCTGAATCCGACTTTGTCAAAAAGCAACCTCCCAAAGAGGTCATCTGTCTAATTTCTGGGTCTTTAATGGCTGAACCAGTCATCGTCTCCCCTGGCCAAACACGTGTTTAGATTAAGGCCAATATGTGTTTAGATTAAGGCCAACAAAACGCTGTCGTTTTCCTTGTTAATTTTTTGGTTATTTTATAATTAATTAATTAATTAAAAAAGGGCAGTTCAATCTTTTTATCGCTCCAATAATGCTTGAGTGACATGAGGCCCTTACTCGCACCAAAAATGAATATGGGTTTGTCAAGAACAAACCCATAGAAGATGGTACAATTTCCAAACCTCAGTTCCTATTATATATATAAAATTGTCAACCAAGTTAATTTTATGTTCTTGTTTTTTTTTATATTCTCTTGAAACAAAGGAAGTACAAATTAAAACATATTATTCATTTAGGAGATAGGGAAAACTTCTCTCTCATCAAGGCAACCAACTTGTCATGGGGTGGAAGTGTCTCCTTCATCAGAGGGCAGTCTAACAGAGCACTCACCCAAGAGAAAAATGCAGGGTGCTTTTCCGGATCAACACTCGAACCGCCGGCCTCAGCAAAGGCTTTGTAGCAGCAAGCACTTGAGCCTACCACAATGTCAAGAAACCCGAGGGCGTCGCCGTTGAAGAAAGGAGGCTTTTGTTGAAAATCCCTCTCAATGCCATCTTCAAACACCTTATGCAACTCACAGTTGTCTTCTATGGCCTTTTCTTGCTCTTTGCCTTTCAACATAATGATTGGATATGTGCTTGGGATTAGTGATATCAAGAATATATTTCATTAGCATTGAGCATATTGAAGTCACTTGGTTGCTAAAACTACTGACATAACACAGTAACTAGGGATGGCAAAATACTCCATCCTCGGCCGCTCTATTCCATTATGTTTAGACAGTTATGGGGTAGTTAAATAGTTTTGGGTAGTAAGAATAAGTCAGAATTGAAAACTCATGCGGTTGCAAGAAGACGATAGGAAAGGTCGCCCAACCCCGTTTGTACTGATAAATTATAATTTTTTTCTTATAATTTATTTTATACTCGTATTAAAAATATTAGGTATATATTAAGCAAATATGAGATTATCTTATTTCAATTACTAAATATCTTTTTGTATTATTTTTATTTGAGAACTCTTATATATTATTATGATATTCCTACGATGACATTAAATCTCAAATTCTAGTTGAGAAATTAAATTTTGTTCTTATGTACATAACAGAAAAAATAATTATCATATTGATTACTTTTCTAAATTCGTCCCCGTCTCCTTTGAGTAATCAATTTAGAAATGCTAACTAGAAGTGGAGGACCGAGTAAGTGATACTACATACCTTCTGATCATAAAAATTGGCCCAGAAACGAACTTTGGCTCTATCGCAAGGATCCTCAGGTAACAGTTTGGGAGAGTTGTTCCAGTATTCGTCAATGTATTCGAGAATGACGAGCGATTCGGTGATGGATTTGCCCTTGTGCACCAGTACAGGTACTTTCCCAAGGACAGGGTTGTAATGGAGGAGCAGTTCACTCTTGTTTGTTAAATCTTCCTCTATGTACTTGTAGGGTATGCCATTAAGTTTAAGGGCCAGTTCAACTCTGGTGCTGTAGGGGCTAGCCCACACCCCAAATAACACTACTTCACTTTGCTTCTCCATTCTCTCTCTCAAATGGTGTAATAAATCAATGAAGTTGAAAGCTTATATAGACTTTATCTGGGTGTCTTTTGCATTTGTTTACAAGGGTGTTAGGTGAGTCATCTGATTATTCAATGATCTTTGGTATGAATAAAAAACAATTATCCAATACACGGCCGGCTTGACGCAGGTGGAGGCCAAAATAGTAAAATTAAGCCTTCTAACATTAACTATAAAATATAAAAACACTATTTACGCTATTAGCTCAAAAAGACACTCCTTTCATCCCATAAAAATGTCACTTTTAGAAAACCGTGACTCTCACAAATTGAACTGATACGGTTCCTGAAACATGACATTATTTTTGGGAGGGGGTAGTATAATTTAAATGTGTAGGTAATTGATGCATAGGAATCCATAAATTATAAAGTCGGAAAGAAATATATTATTAGAATATATACTTATATGCAAAAGAATATATATTAGTAAAAGATTTACTCTTCTCTGTCTTATCTTCAAACTCTAGTCCTCCGCCGATATACCAAACCTAAAACTAGAGCCAAACTTTAAAAAATAACAAAAAATAAAAATCAAATCATATCCAACGACGAACAGGGAAGATAGAAGGGCATTGAAAGAATTGAGTCAAGGGTCGCGCTTGAGTTATTGGGGACTTTACTCACCCATGCGACAACCACTTCAACCCAAAAGTTCACTTGTAGGTTTCGCTGCAATGTTGTCTTCTTCAACACGAGTCGAGTCACCGAACTCATTCTCGACCAGGTGGGTTACTCCGGCTAACTCACCTCCACCTCCTGAAACTTCCATACCTACAAACTCTAGGCCTCTCCAATAGAACTTACTCTCGATCTCATTTGATACGCACACACCCACACCCACACACACCCACCCACACACACACACACACACACACACACACATATAAATTGAAACAAATAGTATATATGGAGTAATGAAGTATTTACCATGTGAGTGGCACAAGAACAAAAGGACTAAAACAAGCCCAACACCGCGTTACAAAATATAGCCCAGTGCTCTGGCTGCCCACCATTATATTCTGCTAGTGTAGCCTTATCCTTTTTTTGTTAGGAACTATGTCTCAAATTCCCATTATTATTAGTTTCTATTTTAGAGTGTATTTTTTATGGTAATTTCTTATTGAGACGTGAATTGGGCTCTAAGAAATTGTAATCCTTGTACACAAGGGAATTGGGTATGTGACTCTATAAATAGACAGTTAGATTATTGTTGAGAGTTATGAGTTGAGAGAGACGTAGCCTCATGAGGGAGTACGATGCTGGTAAGGGTGAGTTACGGGTTTGGTAGAGTGAACACTGATGGCGAGAGGGAGTCTCATGGAGTATACGGAGAACTCGGGAAGAGTTTGTGTGTATGATCCGGTGTTGAAATTCTCTACAATTGTAATATCTCTATATATATAGTGAATCTCTTCTCATCCGTGGATGTAACCCTGATTTTGGGTGAACCACGTATATATCTTGTGTTGTGGTTTGAATTGTTATTTTTCTTTCTTTCTTTCTTTTGCTTCCGTTTTGCCCAACAACTGGTATCAGAGCCAAAGATGAAGGAGATCCAGAAAATACAAGAAGTCTCAACATGTGCTACAATGGGCTTCAGTTGTAGGTGGAGTCAATTGGCTTGATTACATGGCATAGAGCTTGAGTAGTCAAGGTGGAGCCTTGGGGTTTGACTGATTGAGCAACGTATAGTGAAGGGATAATCTGAGTTCTGCAATAAGATCGCAAAGATTGAAGTTGCAGAGAATTGTCCAGATACAATTGCCATAAGAAGCGATGATTGACGTAATAGAATTTGAGCCAAGGTGGAGATTGTTAGGAATTATGTCTCAAATTCCCATTATTATTAGTTTCTATTTTATAGTGTATTTTTTATGGTAATTTCTTATTGAGACGTGAATTGGGCTCTAAGAAATTGTAATCATTGTCCACAAAGGAATTGGGTATGTGACTCTATAAATTGATACTTAGGTTATTGTTAAGAGTTATGAGTTGAGAGAGATACAGCCTCATGAGGGAGTACAATGCTGGTAGGGGTGAGTTACAGGTTTGGTAGAGTGAACACTGATGGCAAGAGGGAGTCTCATGGAGTACACTGAGAACTCGGGAAGAGTTTGTGTGTATGATCCGGTGTTGAAATTCTCTACAATTGTAATATCTCTACATATATAGTGAATCTCTTCTCATCCGTGGATGTAACCCTGATTTTGGGTGAACCACGTATATATCTTGTGTTGTGGTTTGAATTGTTATTTTTCTTTCTTTCTTTTGCTTCTGCTGTGCCCAACAATTGGTACCACTTTGTTAGGAGAGATGACAATAAACAAACACAGCGGAATAATTCTTCTTCCTATATGCAAGCAAATATAGTATATCTCTACTTTTATATGTGCTGAAAATAATAGAAATAATTCGATCACACCAAGCCACAAAAACACAAGCAATTTTTTACGTGGAAAACTTCCCTAGTGTGAGGAAGAAAAACCATGGGACCTAGTCCAGTTAAAATCTCCACTATCAACCAAATAATGGGTACACAAAGTCTTCTCTAATCGCAATTAGAGACTATAAAACATCTTATCAAGATAGCAACAATCTTGGCAAAAAACAAAGAGAATTGGAGAGAAAAATACCAAAACCTGGTTACTGTTCACGGGCACGAATCACTGTTCCCAAGCTCAAAATCTAATCTTCACCGTTCAGATTGTGCATCACTGAGTCATAAACCTCTCCTCCAAATTTTAGCTTGATCGGACCACGGACGAAGAGGGATCGGACGTTTGATCAAACCTGGGCAGAATGGAAAAAACCTGCGTTTTTCTTCTCTTTGTTCTTTTACTTGCGGCTAACCTCTCTCTCTTTTTATACTAACTTTTTTAGGGTTTTATTTTCCCAAAAGGCTGGGCTTTGGGCTTTTAATAAAACCCACTTGGGCTTTCCTCCATATAGAAGGAAATAAACCCAACAAATCTCCCCCTTTCCGACTATGTGGAGGGAATCGCCATCTCGGCAATCGAACAACAAACTATTGTTAGGAATTATGTCTCAATAAACAAATACAGCGGAATAATTCTTCTCCATATATGCAAGCAAATATAGTATATCTCTACTTTTATATATGCTGAAAATAATATAAATAATTCGATCACACCAAGCCACAAGAATACAAACAATTTTTTACGTGGAAAACTTCCCAAGTATGAGGAAGAAAAACCACGGGACCTAGTCCAGTTAAAATCTCCACTATCAACCAAATAATGGGTACACAAAGTCTTCTCTAATCGCAATTAGAGGCTACAAAACATCTCATCAAGATAGCAACAATCTTGGCAAAAAACAAAGAGAATTGGAGAGAAAAATACCAAAACCCGGTTACTGTTCACAGGCACGAATCACTGTTCCCGAACTCCAAATCTGATCTTCACCGTTCAGATTGTGTGTCACTGAGTCATGAACCTCTCCTTTAAATTTCAGCTTAATCGGACCATGGACGAAGTGGGATCGGATGTTTGATCAAACCTGGGCAGAATGGAAAAAACCTGTGTTTTTCTTCTCTTTGTTCTTTCACTTGCGTCTAACCTCTCTCTCTTTTTATACTAACTTCCTTAGGGTTTTCTTTTCCCTAAAGGCTGGGCTTTGGGCTTTTAATAAAACCCACTTGGGCTTTCCTCCATATAAAAGGAAATAAACCCAACAAATCTCCCCCTTTCCGACTATGTGGAGGGAATTGCCATCTCAGCGATCAAACAACAAACTTCAAGTTTCTCTCTTGGTAGGATCTTTGTCAACATATCAGAACCATTATCATCAATGTGAACCTTCTTAAGTTCAAGTAACTTATTGTTCAACGCATCTCTGATCCAATAGTATCGTACATCAATGTGCTTAGATCTTGCATGGAAACTAAAATTCTTAGCAAGATGAATAGCACTCTGGCTATCACAAAACAACACATACCTCTACTGCTTGAAACCAAGTTCTCTCAAGAACTTCTTTGCCCATAGCAACTCTTTAGTCACTTCCGTTGCTGCAATAAACTCTACCTCTGTGATAGAAAGAGCAATACACTTCTGAAGTCTCGATTGCCAACCTACAGCCCCACCTGCAAAAATGATCAAATAACCCGAAGTAGACTTACGAGTATCCACATCCCCTGCCATATCTACATCTGTGTAGCCAACTAATAATTGTTATCCATTTCCCAAACCAAGTCTCAAACTGGAAGTGCCTCGAAGATACCTCATGATCTACTTCACTGCATTCCAATGTTCTCTTCTCGGATTTGACAAGAATCGGCTAACTACACCAACTGCATGGGTTATATCTGGTCTTATGCAAATCAATGCATACATCAAACTTCCTACTGCTGAGGCGTAAGGAACTCTTTTCATGTCTTTTTTTTCCTTATCTGTAGAAGGACATTGCTTTGTACTCAGTCTAAAGTGGGTAGCAAGAGGAGAGCTAACCACTTTAGTGTTGTCCATATTGAACCTCTGAAGCACTTTTTCAATGTACTCCTCCTGTGACAAATATAACTTCTTGGCACTCCTATCACGACTGATTCTTATGCCAAGAATTTCTTTACTGGCCCCAAATCCTTCATAGCAAATGACTTACTCAATTGCTTCTTTAACTGGTCAATCCTTGAAGCATTCCTGCCAATAATCAACATGTCATCCACATAAAGCAGTAGAATAATAAAATCATCATCAGAGAATTTTTTTAACAAATACACAGTGATCAGAAGTTGTCTTATTGTAGCCTTGCTCCCCTATAACAGACTTAAACTTCTTATAGCACTGTCTCGGTGCTTGTTTCAAACCATATAAGCTTTTCTTCAGCTTTCACACATAATCTTCTTTCCCTTTCACTTTGAAACCCTCTGGTTGCTTCATATAAATCTCTTCCTCCAAATCACCATGAAGAAATGCAGTTTTCACATCCATCTGCTCAACTTCCAAG